AAGCATATATCCCAAGTTAGGTAAATTGGCACAAAACAGAGACATCTGCATACCCATATTTACTAGCAGCACTATACCCCGGAGCACTATACACTATGGAATCAATCCACCAACCCAAGTGCCCATCAAGTAATGAATGTTGTTTTTATTTTTTATGTGGTATATAGAGGTAATGATAGGCAGCAAGATAGCATCTGCCAACAGGGTCATTCAAGTAGTCAAGTCCAAATCCTCATTAATTAGGTTCCCTGAGAGAAGGAACAATCCTAAACTGCAGTGCATGAGACACTTTGAGATCACAGGGTCCCCATCTCACTCTTCTCTAGTCTCCCTACATTCAAGCGAAGTAAACCAGTAAACCACCCAGATTTACTGCATCACACCCACCAGACCATGCGGAAGTATTAACACATGACCTCAGACACACAATGAAACTTGTAGCTTGAGAAGAAACGGGATCTGCCCACACTGGACATACAGACCAATCATTATAACTGTTGTTTGCTATCAGACAAAAGAATTAGCTTTACAATAAAGGACTTCCAAAATGACAAGTAACAAATGTATAGTAAGCAGCCTTCATAAATATTCTGCAAAAATATTCTCCACAAGCTTACCTAACCTTATAGTGTACATTTTTAATGTTAGGCTATTAATTTATTTCTGATTATGAAGCATTACCAGTGATGAACTGTTGAAGCACAGGGTAACTTGTAAATTACTGTAGGTTTTCCATAATTTCACTTTTCTTTCTGTTTCTGTTGGATCTGGAAAGAATTCATAGGCAGAATTATTACTTTATGAAGGTGATTTTCTTGAAATTAGATTAGGACCAGTGAAATAGTATCTCCATTATATGTTCTTGAGCCCAGGAGTTCAGGACCAGCCTGAAGAACTCAATGAGGCCCTGTCTCTTGAAAGTAATAAACTAAAATAAATCCTTTTCTCCCAGAAAAAGAAGAAAATGTCCAAAAAGCAATGGCAGAAAATGAATGTTTCAGGAAGGTTTCCAACAAAATTGGTTTAAATTGAGTGGTGTTCTTCAAGGGGAATGTCGCTGACATGGCTATAAAGGAATAGAAGCCACCCTCTTCTCTCAGTCACTTAGTGGTTGCTCTTCTTTTTTTCAGATCCCACTCACACTGACAGATGAACCACAGACACCGGAAGAACCCATTCGCTGCTCCTGGGTGCGAGATTGCGGGCAAAGCATCCACCAGCATGGCAGGGGTCCATAGTATTTTTTTGCGGCCTCAGAGTCCCCAAGGCCCTCAAGCAGAAGTGGCAGTAGATGGTTGCCATCAGCCAAGCCAGACTTGTACTGAAACAACAGGAAAGCAATCCTCTGAGCTTGGATGGAACTTGGCAGTGGGGATGCCGAGCTGCTGCACTCACCCACATCAGCACATACTTATTTTACCTCCCCTCACCCCCCCGCCCCAACCTGCTTAGGTCTTTGTACCTTTCCTGCTGCTGCACAGAGATGATATAAAAGAGGCTCTTTGGCTATTTGCATTTTGCTTCCTCTTCTTTTCCAGATTGCACTATTAAGCTTTATTTTCTATGTACAAGCTTAAAGTCCCCATATCATTATTTATCAGAGCTGTTCTTCCCTTTTCAGAGGGCCTGGGGGAGGGGAGGCACACACCACAAGTTCCCCAGCACATGGAGACAGGGTGGCATGCTGCTGATGTGAGCCACGGTACAGGCAACCCTGTGGAATTACTGATTTCTAAGATTAATAAAGTAATTCGATTTTTATTTTCTTTTTTTTCCATTTACTAATTTCCTAACAATCATTCACAAACAAGACTAAAATGGGACCAAATGGCCTTTTTATTTCATTGCCAATTTTTTAAACTTCATTTTAGAAATGTGGGCTATCCAGAAATTTTGTTTCAGCAGATGTCTGTCCTCCCTCCGGAGGGAGGCTCCCGCCTCCCGGAAGTGGGAGTGTGCAGCCGAACCTCCCCAGTCTGCCCTCCAGCAGCAGGCACACCAGTGTGGTCCTGCATGGCATGTGACCGTGTCACGGTTGCGGCGCACACTGCCTCCCACGCAGTGCATCCAGATAGTGCAGCATGGCCCCAACCCCTGTCCCCTGCCCCTGCTCACTGACTTCCACGCCTTTCCTAGAGAAAGGTTGGAGCCCACTGAATAGGATGTTCTTGAAAACAAGCCATGGTCAGACTGTTACAGCAGGTCCTATAGACTCAGCACTGGAATCCAAAGAGAGAAATGACACCCGAGAAGACAGAAAGAAAAAGGATTTTATTGCCTTCTTAGTGAATGAAAACAAAGATTTGAGCACATAGAAGCATCTTGTTTGCTTGGGAAGGACAAGGACTCACAGTTACAGGAGAGGGGAAATATATCGTATCTTCCCAGAGTCTTCTGGGTAATAGTTGGAGGACCACCTTAACTCACTTGTTTTGAGTTGGATAGAAGACAAATTGAGATCCTATTTCCTTATTGCTATGTAGAATTAAGAGATTTGGAGGATCTCACCAGTGAATCTTGGGTAAAGGGATACAAAGGTATGATTTAGAGCAACTACAGTGCATGGAATTGCCCTGCGTGGCCAGTCAGTTAAAGCTGACCCACAGGTGCTAGGAACAGACTCCAGGTCTTCCCTACCAAAGCACTTTCAAGGCATTCTTACTGGTACTAGACTTGAACTGACAATGAACCAGATGAATCATTTGAGCCTTTCTCCAGCAGTGTCATTCCCAGTGTCACTGCCCTCAAAACAAGTATGTCTGTTTGTTTGTTTGTTTTTTTTGTCGGTCGTGGGGCTTGAACTCTGGGCCTGGGCGCTGTCCCTCGCTCTTCAGCTCAAGGCGAGCGCTCTACCACTTGAGCTACAGCGCCACTTCCGGTTTTCTGGTGGTTTATTGGAGAAAAGAGTCTCTCGGTCTCTCCTGCCCGGGCTGGCTTTGGACTGCGATCCTCAGATCTCAGCCTCCTGAGTAGCTAGGATTACAGGTGTGAGCCACCAGCGCCCGGCAAGTATGTCTTTTTGAAGAGATCAAAATTCAAGTGTCCACAGTGCCCACCAGTGGTACATGGAAAGGGGAGGCTGGGTTCCAGACCTCCTTCCATATTTGGATCTGCTTGTTAACATGAAGGGTAGCGCTTGAACGTGAAAGAACATTTGGAATCACGGTCTTTGGGACATTTCAGGAAGTACCTCAGTTGCGTTGGTTCATTAGGGTGAACGACAGAGCAACCTTTTAGCCATGTCCTGTGAGGCTGGATGAAAAAGGAGATTTAGTCTCAGGCCACTTCCTTATTGATGTTCCAAATAAGGACCAATGTTGAATGCAAGGCACTACTTCTCTCAAGGGAGTTTTCAGCTGGCCTGGACCCTACCCCAGCATACAGATGATTCTAACACTGCAGCCAAAACACATAATCCTCTGCTAAAATCTTAGAACTGCCACAAGTGAACAGACTGACACTTGGAAAAACAGCCACCATGGCTGGCATGCTGGCCTGCAGCACATACCCCTTTCTCAACCCACTGGCTCCTGGGATAAGACAGCACATTCCCACAGCCAGAATTTTCAGGCAGGGGCATATAAACCCTTAAAGGGCAATAGAAGTAAATGGGTGCCCCAGAGACAAAGTCAGAGAAGCCTTAGAACTATCTGGACATGGACAAAATGGGGAACAAAGTCTTGGAGACCTCAGAAGAAACAAAGTATGCACACACCTAAACACATACAGGCATGAGCGTAAGTACAACCTCCATCCTGTGGATTATAGCTTCAGATGGACTCTGTACCAGTGTTAATGTGAGCTTGCTGGAGGCAGGTGGTTTGGGAGAGAGGGGGTCCCTTGCTCTGCTCACTCCCTGTGGAAGGCTGCTTCAAATGGCCGATAATTTCCAAGAGCAGATGTACACCAGTGAGCCACAGCACAATTGTGTAGAGGCCTGGGCACTGTGGTTGGAATTGCGCTTTTCTTGCCCTCTCCCATTTCCAAACCACAAGCGAGAGGCCCAGAGTCTGAAAAGTGTTTCCAGGTTGGCTCCTTTAGGTGTAACTCAATGACAGAATTTGCCTCTGGGTCTATTTGCCTGAGACAGTTTCTCTAATGTTCAAATCATTTGAGAGCTGAGATGAGATTTCCAAAAATGATGATGTGGATTGTTAGATAGAATACACAAGCCACATTTCCATATGTAAAAGTTCACACCACAGAGTTATCTGGAAGTTAACTTGGTGCAAATCTGAGCCAGTATCTCTGTGTGTCTAAAAACATGTTCCATGAGAGGGAAGGGTGCACAGACAATAGGGCCCTCCTCCCAGATGGCAGAGGCAGCTCTGTGCGGCCACCTTCTAGCACGCTCACACCAAGCAGTGAAGTGACCTTTGCAATTATCTGCCTAGGTTCCAGTTATGTCTGAACAGTAGATGCAGGCATGGAGTTAATGAGAGGGTAAGAAGGCTACTTATGGAGTCAGACATTCATCTTAGAAAAGGTTTTTTACTGTTCTAGAAACAATCTCCCAGAAGATGAAATCATCCACAATTCCCCCCCAAAATATTTATTTATACAAAAGCTTTTAGAGTAATAATTTGTATTTGTTTTTGTATCTCAGGCTATGCGTCTGGGGCCAAGTCACTCACTGTGTGGTACATGTGCAGCTCCCCAGTGCCTGACATAGCACCTGCTTCCAGGAACATCAAGGGAACACAGGGTTGTAGAGGGCAGGAGAAGAGGAATCCCTGATGCCCAGGCTGCATGGACCCAGAATCCAGATTCTTTCACCCTGACCTGGAAGGTGTCTAGCCAAATGTCCCAGGGGAAATGTGATCAAAGGAGAAGCTGGGAGGAGGGGCCCAGAGGGCAGACAGGAAAGTTAATTCCCACCCTTTCTTCGGAATTGAGCATCTCCATGGATCCAATAGAGTTGCTTGGCCCAGGAACTCACTGTAGTACCTGTAATAAGCCAAGATGCTGACTGATGGAGAGAAGACAGTTTGAAAATTAAAAACAAAAAGAGTTGTCTTTAATCCCAGGTAATGCAAGATACAATTCTGGGACTTTGTCTTGGTAACCTGTCTAAAAAAAAAAAAAAAATTCTTGCCTCCTATAACATCATCAGAGTCCCCAAAGCAGATATGGCACACCAGTAACCCAAACTACAGATCCAAAGTATCTTCCAGTTTGGCCACCTTCTGCCCCACCTCCTTCCCAGGGTAGCCCAAATCCCATTGCCACTTGCCATCCCTCTTCCTCTACCCCAACACCTCTGTGTCCACTTGCCCTCCCTCTTCTCTACCCCAACACCTCTGTCTGCACCACAAAAGTACTGTGTTCTAAAAGAGTTCACTTCCCCTAACCAATCCACACTTTCTTTACCACAGTGATTCTCAGAGCCAACAAGAAAGAGAAATGTTCCAGAAGGAAGCCTCCATTTTAGCTGTTCACCAGGAGCCAAGGGTTGTAGGCTCCAGGCCTCTAGGTGAGGTCTGTTGCTTCGGTTTCCCAAGGAACGGGGCCGTCAGCAGTGGCAGTTCTCCCTTCTCTGTTGCAGGCTGGGCCTCAACTGCACTTACAGGACTTCACCACCATGTTGGAGAGCTGCTCTACCTTGGGGGTCCTCCCCACGTAATACAGAATGGTCAGGGGCTCCAAGTCCTGGGGCACGCAACAGGGTGAGGCAGATGCTTCAGGGTTCAGGGTGTTGTACAGCCCCAGCACCTGGAGGTGGAGACCATAATATTTAGAGGTGAGAGAGAGAGAGAGAGAGAGAGACATTGCAAGCCCTCAGTCCAGGAACTCTACTCTGAGGGTGGCTCCGAGATGAGCAACTGGTAGAATGGCCCCTGCTGCTATTGAAGAACAATTACAGGACCACAGTTCAGTGAGAGACAACTTGTGTTCACCCTCTGGAGCAAAATGCAGAACACATACACTTGTCTGAATTACTAGTTTAAACAGGTGGCAGTTATTGGAGGACTTCTGTTTGATAAGGAAGTGCTTTGCTAGTAAGAAAACAACTCCTTTGCCCTTCCTTGCTGTAACTGATCACATTAGTGAAAAAGGTTTTCACTAACTAGTGTCGTGGGCCATTTAGTAAGTGCCCAGACAGTATGCAGCCCTGACTGTCCATAAGTAAATGTGACTGACAAACCACTGCCCTTTTCTATTCCCCTTGGGGAAAGGCAAGTTTCAGAGGTTGAGCTCACTTTCTCTCTCTCTCTCTCTCTCTCTCTCTCTCTCTCTCTCCCTCCCACCCCCCTCCTCTCTCTCCTCACTGTCTTTCAGAATACCTTTGTACATGGTACACAAGTGCATGCTGGCACTGGGTCTTGAACTCAGGGCCTGGGCCCTTTCCCTGAGTTTTTTTGCTCAAGGCTAGTGCGCTACCACTTGAATCACAGCTCCACTTCTAGATTTTTGCTGATTAATTGGAGATAAGACTGCTGGCCTTTCCTGCCTAGGCTGGCTCCAAACTTCAATCTTTAGATCTCAGCCTCCTTAGTAGCTCGCATTACAGGCTCAAGGCCTGTAATGTAATGTTTCTGCCACATTACAGGCTCAGGCCTTACATTCCTTGCCAACCAGGTCATATGACGGTTAACTTCCATAGTTCAAAATCTTTAGTCAAAGCAAATAAAAAAATTAGTCAAAACTTTTTTGAGGGATTCTGGGGATTGAACGTACGGCCTCAAACATGCTAAGGATAAGCTCTACCACTGAGCTATACCCTCAGCCTCTATGATAGGATATTTTTTTGTGTGTGGGGGGGTCCGGTCGTGGGGCCAGAACTCTGGGCCTGGGCGCTGTCCCTCAGCTCTTCAGCTGAAGGCTAGCGCTCTACCACTTGAGCCACAGCACCACTTCTGGCTTTTTTTTTAACTTTTTGCCAATGTGGTGCTGAGGAATCGAACCCAGGGCCTCAGGCATGCAAGGCAAGCGCACTACCACTGAGCTACCTTCCCAGCCCTCTATGATAGGAATTTTAAGGGCTTGGTGGGATGTTCGTATTGGGCTGGGATGCCAAGATCAGAACATTTATTAGAGGGATTTTACTCACCCAGCTTATCATTCACTTATTCAACATTCAACCCTTTATTCGTGCTTTTTAACAAATGGCCTAGTTGGCTGACCCTCAGGATTCTCTTAGCATGCGCCCTGCTCCGTACCGTGCTGTGGGTTGTGTCTGTGCTGCGGAGGTATGGGCAAGGGCCTGAGCAAAAGTTTGCATAGTAGCCCTTAGGTTCGTGGACCCATTTCCAGCCCAGATCCTGTCGGAAGTCAATGTAGAGGGGGCGCACACAGCAGTTCTCCTCCAAGTTGCTACAATGAAAAACATTTACAGGAAATCAGGTTCAAGTGCATGGGATGAAGAGACCCAAAGGCATTTTCCTATGTTGAAAACCAGGATCCCAAAGTTGTAATAGGAGATAGAATACTGCACGAGGGACAGTAAAGAGGTGGAAGTCTTGTCCCCTTGTATACCACAAATCAGAATGGATATAACATGCTCCATATACAAGCAAGTCCTAGAGGTTTCAGTCAAATCAGCTTTGTTGAGATTGGTTTAGTGATAGCTTCTGCATAACTAGAAATAAACTCGAAGCTCATGCAGCTTGCATACTACCATATAGTGTGCTTTTTAGACTACCTTTAGCCAAAACAAGGCCTCTCCTTCTAGCAGAACCACGATCTACAGGTTACCAAGTTGCCAGACCTCAATCCTGTTGTCTGCAAGAGCCCACTTGGCAGTGCTGCTTGCTAAGTGGGCAACTAGCCTCTGCTTTCAGTGCATTTCAGCTGAGACCTGGAATGTGTCACTTCCAAAGACAATGACTGGCCAAAGTCTGACTCGTAGGAACCATAGCAGACTCTAGGGTTGTTCTGAAGTTGCCATTCCTAACCCTTTTCTCCCATGCCACCTCACATGACAGTCTGCAACACTACTCATTTTTCTGGCCATTGCAGGCAGAGGTGGTGATATGAACTAACAATGGCCAATCAGACATAGGAGAAGGAGGCAGGGGATGAAGTCGAGGTTTTGCAAAGTTTATTTGTTTTGTTTTTGTGACTTGAACTCAGGGCCTGAGCATTGCCCTTTGGCTTTTTCACTCAAGTCTGGCACTCTACCATTTGAGCCACAGCTCTATTTCTGGCTTTTTGCTAGTTAATTAGAAATGATCTGATGGACTTTTCTACATGGGCTGGCTTTGAACTAGGATCCTCAGATCTCAGCCCACTGAGTAACAAGAATTACAGATGTGAACCACTGGTGCCCTACAGGCCAAGAGTTTTTTATTTATAAAAACCTAAACTGGGGATGTCACTCAGTGATACAGAGTTTGCCTGACAGTGCAAGGCCCTGGGTTTGAGCCTAGCACCATAGAAGTGGGGAGAGAATAGAGATTAGTTATAAAAGCAACAGAGGGAAGAGAATACTACTAGCTCATTCCCCGCTCTTGTCTTAAACATGGACCAGCTCCTCCCTCGTAATACTGTGACACGGATGAGAGGATGAAGAGCTAACATACCAATCACACCAGGCTGGAAAATGGGAAATCTGCGTCCTCAATGGCACAGTTATGCAGCCCGAACAAACCCAAAGCTGCTACCACAGACCTCTTGTGAATAGAACTTCTGTGGCTGAATTCATTGTTGCTTGAAGCCAAAACCAATCATGTCTCACTGATAAAGACACACAGAACACTTCTACATGCTAGCCTGCAGACAGATGGCAGCAACCACAGAGCCTCTTCCAGATCTTTCTGCTCTCCAGGTGTGAGATCCCTCACTGATTCGGTAGATCATCGCAGATACAGTTCCAGATCACAGAGATTTCCCAAGTCATTCTCCTGGCTGCTTCAGGCAGCTTGTGCAGCCAGATCCTGTGCTACCTCTGCCCTTACCCCCAGGGCTTTCTGCCTCCCCCATCCCTACATCCCCAAGCCTCCCCCATCTTCCAAAACACTAAAATCCCACCCTTGCTGAAGCCTGTCCTGTATCTGTGCTGGAACCCCTGACTCCCGCTGTGCAAAGGACTTCACCCTGACCTTCAGGTACACAGACAAAACATCCCTCCTGTGTATGTGAGCACTTCATCTGCTCCAAGGAAAGGGACGAAGCTGGGTCTTCTCCATCTACATCATTGAGTAACAATGGTTACTCGAGAATTTCTGAATTCATTTAATTTCTCTAGCTCAGATTTTCCATATAAAAAGAGGCTACCCTACATTCCTCCCCTCTCTACCCAGTGGCATCCTTGCTTCCTCTACTAGAACAGAGCAAGCATTTCCTGCAAACTCCTGCAGTGATTTCTTCCCACACAAGCATGCCCCACAAGGACTGAAAACACAAAAACCACCAGGAAGCTTCAGGCAAGCATCCACCATCCAGACTATTTTCCCAGTACACTCTGCTCACGCTTTCCCTCATTGCTCCAGCCAGGCCCTGATGAAGTTGAGGTGCAGGAAAACTGGAAGCTTTGCAAAAGGTTTCCAATCAGTTCTGTGCAGTGCAGTATCTGGCTCCATGTGGGTTACGTCTGAGGTCTGCACCACAGGAGACCCAGGGTATGTTGTGGTCCCCATGGGGCCCAGGCTCACCGGAAGCAGTAGTTGGTGTCTAGGGCCCGCTTTTTCCTCTGACCCCCCTGGCCTGGGCTGTCGAGCCGGTGTGGAGGAATCATCATAAGGATCAGATGGGGGTTGTGGTGGTCCTTCTGCTTCTTGAGGCGTCCCAAGTCTCCACGGCCATGGTCGTCCTCATTGTCCACCCCTGCAGAAGGGCAGGAAGAAGACAAGCTCCAATCTATGAAAAGCAGAGCTGTTAGAGGCTGTCTCCTCACCCTGGCCCATCACTGCCAAGGGGCGTCAGTGCATCCATGAGAGGGCGGGGGCGGGGGGTGAGCTGTACCTCAGGATCTCCTGTAGGAAAGCTGAGCTGAGCAATCGCTACCAAAAGAACTCAACAATCACGACAACCGTGCTCAGATCTCCTCACAAATCCTGCACAGAATGTTCCAGAGGACAGAAAGCCCTTCCTGAGATGCTTCCTGGAAATCACTGTGAAGCCATGACGCATCTCTATCATCCGGTGGACAGCTAACACTTGCCTTTGAGTTATTGAGACAAGAATCCAGCAGGGTGAGTGTAAGGTATCCCAATTTAATATAGTTTGAATGGGGGTGGGGCAAAGAAACAAAACTGAATGACAGCAAATATTTACATTGTACTTATTGTTTCAGACATGTATTCACTATAAAATTCAGGTGAGATAATAGAGTGTATGTTATATGGCTTAGCAAACTTTTTCTGAGAAAGGCCCTGAATCCATCTGAACCTTTTCTAACTGAAGAGGAAAAAACAAACAAGTCTGACTTAGAATCTCAACTAGCTGGAGCTCTAGTGTGTGAAGGACAGAAGCCAACTACTCATCAAACTTTACCTGACAGGACATGAGCATTAGAATTTACATATTAACATGAAGGGGAGTTTCACCTTAGCCTGGCCTCTAAATGAGGGCTCTGAATTTCTGAGCTCTGTGATTAGGATGTGAAATCCTTGGCATTAAAATTGAAAAAAAATTTCAAGAATTGAGGTTAAAAGAATGACAAGATGCAGGAGGCAAGAGCGCATCTTTTCTCAAATGAGCCTCTGACGGCAGGCATTGCTCAGGTGCCCAAAACGAGACAAGGAAAGGAAAAGATAGCTTCTCTGAACTCCAGAGACTGTCAAAGCTGAGGCCCCTGAACTCCCAGCTACTTCCATCTCTCCACAAACACATGTGGTCAAATGCCTGAACCCTGAAATCATCATCAAGTCTCAGACAACCCCTGGGTAAAGATCAGGTAGGCCTGATAATTTTAGGAAAGCTCAGTGATACTCATGTTCAGGGCACCATAGTTTACTAACTTTAGGGAGAAAGAAGACAGCTATAACTTGTTGAGTGTCCTTGGTGCTGCTTTACATGTTATCTCATTTAACACTGTGAAAGAGATACTGGTGACCTTGTTTCCTGGGGCTCTGAACAGCTAACCTACTTGATTTCACCCAGAGCTAATTCAATCTCTAGATCTGCATGTTCATTGCTCTTGGGAGAAAGCAGATTTACTGAAGTAAATACTAGTTAGCTATCTCTTCTACGAAGAACATTGGTTTCATGGGGGTCTGGTTGGGTTCTCCTGTTCTGTCCTGTCCCATGAACTGCCCCACCATACTCTCTCACGCATCCATTACTGTTACCTTTGAATTTGATTTCCATCACCTCATGGACATTTTCCAGGATGTCTCCGTTGGGTTGAAAGGTGTGACATGGACAGTGAATGCTGATTTCCAGACCTAAGTTGGACTCTGCAAAGTAAGATCCAGAGTCAGTGAGAAAAGCACTGTGTGTGATCAGGTGAAGGTGGGCCAGGAACTGAGTGGTACAGAGGGTCACAGGAGACAGAAAGAGCTTCCAAAGCTCAGAATGGGCCTTGGTACCATACAAGTTGCTATATTCCATGTACTTGTATTACATTATGAAAAGAACTGGAAGTGACCATTGTAGCTACCAGGAAAGGGAATGTAAATGGTCATCCATTTTCAAAGGACAGTATTAAGAGAAAATGTCACCACCTACAATGCACAGGGGAGAATATAGGAAGTGAGTACAAAGGAGGAAGGAGCGATGACTTCCCCCTGCAGTAAGGCAGCTAGAAGAAGGAGCTGGGGTAGTTTTAATGAACCACCGAACACCATGTATACTTCCTGCTCAAGGTGTCCGAGGAGGCCCAGGAGAGACCTTGAGTGGCCACGTTCGGATTGTTGGGTAAGAAAGCAGACAGATGTTTGTGTGGGGGAGAGTAAGTTCGTGTGGTCAGCATGACAGAATGGCCTCACTTGGCCAATGGAAGACACAGAAATGACAGCAATAATCATCAACACTGTGGAGCATTGCTGCAGGCCAAACACTGCTCTATGGCTTGTCAGACACTAGTACATTGAACCTCAGTAATCACCCCACTGGGCAATCACCCCATTATGTATATGAGGACAAATGGCTCAAGATACAGTAGTTGGTAATTTTGGGATTCCTAGCCTATGAACTGTGGTGCCAGAAACCCAGATCCCACTGTTTAAAAAAAAAAATAGTGTCTTTCTTACCATGTAGCCCAAACTGGCCTCAAAATTACAAGCCTTCTGTCTCAGCCTCCCAAATGCTGGGATTATAGGTCTATACGAGCATGTCTTGCTTAGATCCCACATTCTAAGATGTTAAGAGACAAAGAATGGCAAAGAGTAGACAACAGAGAGCACCAAGAAAGACACCCACATGTTTACTGAGATGCAAAATGGCTTTGCTTTCTTAGTATATAGCCTGTCCTGATCCAGGAAGCTGGGGGGGGAGGGGCAGGGGAAAAAGGGTCCCTGCCCAACCTGGCTCTACATACTAAGAAGCTAAGAAGCAGACCCTAAGAATAATAGCACAAAAATGTGAGGATCCTTGATCCTGGACAGGGCTCCAGCCAGCTCTGGAACCTAGGGCACAGCTTGGGTAGCTGGTGCACACAGGCTCTCAGATGCTTGCTAAGTGACTCCAAGACCTCTCAGATAATGCAGAGCCTCATCCATCTAGACCAACCATGGCTTTAATTTAGAGTCCATTTGCAGCCTGGCATGAGGCTGTGAACTTTGATGGGACTCTTGAGCTCTGTATAAGCAAAGGTCTAATGTTCCCAAAGAAAGGAAGGCAGAATTTGCCTAGGCGGGAATTTGACATTTGCAATGAAGAACCAACCTCAGAACTGGCAGCAGTTGGGATGGTGGGTTAGGAAGCAACAGGTTTTATTATGAAATTGTCTTTTCTAATGTCTCAAGGAGGATGGAAATGATTCTCTCTGTAGGCTTCTCATTGAGTTCTACAGCTGTGAAAATAAGAACTCCAAGTGCCCAGGGCTTCAAAGAAATCCAGGTGGAGCTGATCTGAATCAGACAGGGAAGCTAAGAGATTAATTTCCCCAGCCCCTCCTTTCTGTGGCCAGGCAGAGAACGTCTGAGTCAGAATTCCCAAACAGTGCTGCTGTTGGCCGAGCCTCATGGGTTCTCCCAGCCTTTGCCTTTGCCCAGGAGCAGGAAGAATCTCCAGGCCATCATCTGCCAACTCAGCCACCAAAGAGGCCCCTTAGATGGGGGTTTGCAAACTGAGTTTTCACACTTTGGCAGTACTGGTGTTTGAACTCAGGTCCTTGTTCTTGCTAGGTAAGTACTCTAGCACTTGAGCCATGCCCCCATTCCAATAGAGGAAAACTCAGTGAGAGGGGAAAAGGGCAGATAGGGCTACCGTGCATAACCCTCACCAGTAAGGGACAGACCTAACCGAGCACTGTCATGAGACACATGGAGAAGAGACTCAAGTTCTAGTCCAGCTGGATGACCTTGGACTTTAACTACTCTGGGCCTCAGCCCCTCTATCTGGTATGATGAAAGCTTTGTGTGTGTGTGCCAGTCCTGGGGCTTGAACTCAGGGCTGTCTGTTAGCTTTTTTTGCTCAACGCTACCACTTGGGTCACAGCTCCACTTCTAGCTTTTTTTTTTTTTTTGGTACTTAATCTGGAGATAAGAGTCTCCATGGACTTTCCTGCCCAGATGGGCTTCAAATCACAATCCTCAGATCTCAACCTCCTGAGTCACTAGGATTCCAGATTGGTACCTGGCTGAAAGCTTATTCTTTTAAAAAATATTGTTATTATAAAGGTAATGTACAGAGGGGTTACAGTTACATAAGAAAAAGTACATTTCTTTTTGGACAGTGTTACCCCTTCCCTCTGAAAGCTTATTCTTATAAAATATGCTGAAAGTTGAGCTGGGAAGGTGGCTCAGTGGTAGATTGCTTGTCTTGCATGCATGAGGCCCTGGGTTTGATTTCTCAGCATCACATAAGCAGGGGGAAAAAAAGCTAGAAGTGGCGCTGTGGCTCAAGTGGTAGCATGCTAGCCTTGAGCTGAAGAGCTGAGGGACAACGCCCAGGTCCAGAGTTCAGACCCCACGACCAGACCCCCCCCCAAAAAAAAATACGTTGAAAGTCTTGACATTTTCTAAATATCTTTGACCCTTAAAACACCTCTATGAGGCATGCTGCAAGGGTACCATTCTGTCATCTTCCAGGTGAGGAGCCACAGTGAGTGAGTAAGATATTGAGGACATGGAAAGATTAACATACTTATTGTATAGTTCTATTTGGATGACCATTAGACTTTTTAAACTTAATTGCCAAAACAGAACTTGCCCTTCACCCTCTTTTTCCAGTCTTCCCTATTCCAAGATGCCACTACCTGCCTGCTATTCCAAAAACTTAGAAGTCAACCAAGATTGCTCTTGTGTATTAACAAACTGTTGGCTTTACCTCCAAAATATGGAACAAGCTAAACACTGGTGGCTCATGCCTTTAATCCTGGTATTCAGGAAGCTGAGATCCAGAGGACCATAGATCAAAGCCAGTGTAGGCAGGGAAAGCCACAAGATACTAAATCCAAAATAACCAGGGCTGGAGATGTGACTTGAGGGGTACAGCACCAGCCAAACAAGCTGAGCAAGTAAGTGCAAGGCCCTGAGTTCAAAGCATAATACAGTGTGTGTGGGGGAGGGGAGTGAAGAATATGGAACAAATTCATAAATTTTTTTGGTCAGTCTTGGGGCCTGAACTCTGGGCCTGGGTGCTGTCCCTGAGCTCTTCAGCTCAAGGCTATCACTATACCCCTATAGCCACTTCCAGCTTTTTCTGCTTATGTAGTGCTGAGGAATTGAACTCAGGGCCTCATGCATGCAAGGCAAGCACTCTACCACTGAGCCATCTTCCCAGCCTGAATCCATATAATTGCTATGACCAGCTACTGTCCCAGTCTAACCCATTGACTTCATCCAGACTATTGCAATGGTGTCTAACTGATTTTCCCGCCTTTTCCTTTGACCTCATGGTAACTAGAGGAAGGAATCATTTAAAGGTATAATCAGTCACTTTACCCACATTCCCAGCTTGCTGACAGAATACTCCTGGATTTTCATCACACCTGGAATAAGTCCTAAATCCTTTTTGTGGCCTGAAAGATACTAGGTCATTTCCTATGGTCCCAGCTCATTTTACCCCACTTGCTATAACAAATCAACTTGCTTTACAGATGAAGACTTGGGCCTTGAGGTTTCCTTTGCTTAGGACAGCCTTTACTTTACCTTCCACCTGACCTTCCAGGGCTGACTCCTGCTTATCAGCTGGATGTCAATGCAGGCTTCCCTTCCTCAGAGCATCTGATCTTGGTTCCACCCACTCATTATGGCCTTATGCCTTTTTTATTTTGCATAACTACCCACAGTTCTTTTTATCTTTTTTCTATCTTTTTTTCTTTTTTTACCAGTCCTCGGGCTTGAACTTGGGGCCTGGGCTCTGTCCCTGAGCCTCTCTGTGCTCAAGGCTAGCACTCTATCACTTGAGCCACAACGCCACTTCTGGCTTTCTTCTACTTACGTGGTACTGAGGAATCAAACCCAGAGCTTCATGCATGCTAGGCAAGCACTCTACAACTAAACCATATTCCCAGGCCCCACCCACAGTTCTTACTTATCAGTATGTTCACTTGTTTAATATGTGTATGTATCTGTCCCAACAAAATGAAATCCCATGAGCCCTGGGACCTCACCTGTGTATTCACTGCTAAATCCCCTGACTTCGACTTAGGCCTGACTTAGAACAACATTTCAGAAACACAGATTGAGTAAATGAAGGAAAAACAGAATCAGTGGCAAAGCTAAGCTTTGAACCCAGGTCTAAAACACAAGTCTCTCTTCTTCTCTGTCACAATGAACAGCGGGTCCTGAAATGCTTGCCCTGGGGCCACCTACCTCTTCGTAACAGCCACTCACGCACTGTGTCAGTGACATCAAAAGACAGCCACTCGGCAGTGCCTCGAGTGGGCAGGTTCTTGCCACCAATGTAGCGCTGCTTGGCGATGTGCTCATCTGGCCGGAGTATCTACAGGGCAGAGAAAGGAATAACTACCCAAGGCCAGGATACTATACCAAAAAGAAGTAGGTCTCCAGGCAGGACAGGTGGACAGAGCAATGAGAAATCAATGTTTTCCAGATGCTTTTACACACCCCAAGTAACCCATCCCTCTTAATGACAAATCTGGAAATGGAGGCTCAGAGAAGCCAGGATTCAAATCTATGTCTGCTGTGCCTAGGGAAGGTTGCCCAGGGTGGAGGAACTGGCTTTTGGGCCTAGGGATGGGTACCTGAAAGAGCTCAATCCTCTGCTCTGTGCGCTTGGAGCTGGGGTTAGGCACCCGCAAGACCCGGAACTCAGCCCGGAACAGATTGGTTCCATTTTTTTCCACTGAGGACACGTTGAAGCGAAAAACCTTGGAGGTAATTCCTTTGGGACAGACAGCCAGCTCATCTAGAAGACAAAGGAATGGAACACAATGTGAACCTCTCAGCAATAGCGAGCCACCAACAGACACGTGTTCAAGTGGCCAGAGTCCTGCCTGTGACCTCCCTAGATGCCGGAGGCCTCAGACCTGATGGAGATAGGAGGAAGTTTCTTGGTGACCTGAGAGTCACACAGTCTTGAGTGAGGAGCAGGGAGACCTCAGAGGCCCAGGACACAATAGTAAGACTGATGAGTGAAGGGTAATTACTCTCTCCTCCCACCACCTTAACATTCCAAACCCACTGAGCTCTCTAGCCTGATTTTCCTACTCTCCTACAAAATCAAAAATTCCCCCAAGTAGTGTAGTTATCTTATAGATATTTGCTTCATCCAGGTTCATTTGGGCAGTCATTCACTTATTAACCATCTATAGAGTAAACACTATGCACTACTAGCATTAGCCGTGGGGAGGTAAAAATGAATGGACACAGTCCCTGCCTTCCAGGGGAGAAAGGTTAAGGGAAGTCATTAACACATAGACCCAGACTGCAGGGTCAGAGAGAAGAGTCCAGGGGTGGCTGCAGGAAACAAGAAGAGGAAGAGAGCAGGGCCCTTCATGGAAGGGAGGACTGGCTCAGGAGGGGGAAGAAAGAAAGTTTACAGGGAAAGTGATTCAAAGAGGTAAAGGGAGAGGAAGAGGGACTCAAAGCCACAAACCTGCAGCCTGGTAAAGGAAGGTCTGGACAGCAGACTGGGAGCCACCTGCAGGGTGGCTGAGAAGCTGAGAAGCTGGATTCATCCTGTCATGTCATGCTGAGAAGCTGGATTCATCTTGTCCACCACAGAGAGCTATAGAAAGAATACGCGCAGCCAGATGCCAGTGGCTCATGCCTGTAATCCTAGCTACTCAGGAGGCTGAGATCTGAGGATCACGGTTCAAAGCCAGCCTGCGCAGGAAAGTCCATGGACTCTTATCTCCAATGAACCACCAGAAAACTGTAAGTGGCTCTGTGGCTCAAGTGGTAGAGTGTTCATCCTTGAGCTGAAGAGCTGAGGGACAGTGCCCAGGCCCAGAATTCTAGCACCATGACCGACAAAGAAAAAAAAAAAAGAAGGAAGGAAGAAAAGAAGGAAGGAAGGAAGGAAGGATGAATTTGAGCAGCACAGTGACAGACTCAACATCATGAGTCAATCTTGTATGAAGCAGGGTTCATGCAGCAAGGAAGCCACATCTTGAACCTAAGAGAAACACAGATGAGTGAGTGACTGAGTGACTAAGTCGCTACCATTGGTTCTTTTAAGTCTGTGTCCTTGAGCTGGGTACTAGTGGCTTTCGCCTATAATCCCAGGTACTCAGGAGGCTGATATCTGAGACTCTTATCTCTAGACAACCATCAAAAAACCAGAAGTGGAGATGTAGCTCAAATGGTAGCAAACACATACACATTCGCTCTTTCTCGCTCTCTCTCTCTCTCTCTCTCTCTCTCTCTCTCACACACACACACACACACACACACACACACATACACACGAGTCTGTGTCTCTGACAGCTTGTTATGGTGGCCTGTGTCCCCTACTCCCTGCAACTTTTTCCCCTGAGTACTAGACAGAAGGGAGCAGATTCTCCACTCACCACTCCAAACCAATTAAAGAAGAAAGCAAGCCAGACCCTTTTCGGCTCCTGTGAATGCTACAACCTCCAGATCTGAGGAGTGTGAACACTCACAGAAACCTTTCTACACAAATGGTAACAGTAGCCAGAACTTGAAATTCAAGCTCATGGACCCAGATTCCACACATAATGGACATGGCTGAAATGAGCTCATAATCACCCCTAGGGTGGTTTAGGGAGTCATGGACAAGGCGGGACAGATCAGACACTATGAAGGAGCAAATGTGCTACTGATCTTTAGGAAAGGATGAGTGTGTCTCTGGAAATTGCCATCTGGTGGGTCTGACATTGGTTCTTAGGAAATTAATGGAACAGATGTTAGGAAAACAAATGTATGAATGCAGTTAATGATGCCCTGATTAATAACTGGCCTTGAAAGAACAAATACAGAACAAGAGCAAGAAATCAGAACACAAGGCCTCGAGCATAGCAAGTACTTTAACCCTTGAGCTACACAATGTAGTAAATAAGTTGACAAGTTTACAACTCTGGACATGGATAAGCTACTTAGACTCATGACCCTCCCAAGCTGACTTCAATCTGGTTTCAGTCATCCAAGCAAGGGCAGTAACCATAAAGAGCAACTCAGGCCAGTACCCTTGGCTTACACCTGTAGTCTAGTCAGAAGGCTGAGATCCATTGGATCATAGTTAGAAGGCAGCTTCCAAAGTAACCAGTAAAAATCTGAGCTGGAGGCATGCTCAAGTGGTAGAACACCAGCAGAGCAAGCAAGCTGAGCAAATATGTAAAGCCCAGAGCAAGTATATCAAGGTATCAGGGCTTTAAAAAAAAAAAAAAGGATAAGTCAGGGTGACATGCACCTCTGCATAAAAAGGAGAAGGAAGAAGAAAAATGACACCTGCCACTGAGGAGAGTCAGACTGGGTTTAAGACATGGGAAGCCAGGATAGGGAGAAAGCCATGTGCTAAGAGAGGTTAGTCTAGTGACCATCCCTCCTTGGTTTCTTCCAGTCTATCACTCCTACATCTGTGCCCCAAGATGAACTCCTCATAGAACTTTTAAGGCATTTGAAGAAAGAGGTAGGAAAGATCGTTTGCTGTCATGGAGGTGAACATGAACTCTTCACACAAACACAGCCAAGACCAACCAGAAGGGTCTGGACAAGGTCACACAGGAAGGAGCTGACACTAGCAAGCAAAGCTCCACATAACCATCGTGATGACAAAAAGAACTGCCTGGGAAAGAAAGAAATATAAATATAATCCCCTGGACAATGACAGCTGCCAAGTAATAACCATGTTTTAAATAATTGATGGAATGAGAATCAGAGTCAGAGTGTGAATTACAGAACGTAATAATGCTACCTTACATTTTCCACAACACTTATTAATTCATCTGCTTTTCTAACGATTCTTGCAAGTAAAGAGAATAGATAAAATTTGCTATTCTACAAATGAGAAAAATGAGTATCAGAAAAGTGCAATGCTTTTCCCAAGATCATTTAGATAGGAGGTGGCAGATATGAGATTGGAACCCAGGTCTTCTGACCACACTTCATATATTGAAGCAGAGACCCTGGGAAGTCATCCAGCAGAAAGATACTTTTGATTTTGCTCTGGGGAGGAAACAAAAAATAAGTACACAAAAACTAGGCAAATACAGAATTCATGTAAAAATTAGGAAATAGTAAACTGCTTCTAAAATGTTTTCAGACACCTGGCTACTAGGTCTGCTTTCGGTGTAGACATCCTCTTTCGGCTTGTTCCAATGTAAAACCTGGATCTGTAGCACAACTACCTGGGACTCGTAAGGTCTTACTACAGACCCCAGTAGTGGGGTAGGTGGGTCTATAATTGCCTGCCTGCCTGCTTGCTTGCTTCTCTCTCTCTCTTTCTCTCTCTTTTCTTCTTTCTTCTTTCTTTTTCTCTTCCTTCCTTCCTGTTTCCTTCCTTCCTTTATTTCATCTTTCCTTGTTTCCTTCCTTCCTTCCTTCGTTCTCCAGATGACTCTCATATACAGACAGAGTTGAGAACCATTGTTTATAATCCATAATCCACTATGTCAGAGGTTTTAGAAATTGGAGAAACCACTGCCTTAAGGACTTTACACTTTACATAGATTAACTTTTAAGTGCATCAGATGTATTATTTGGCCAGTGCATCATGTTTTAAATGTCTGGATTTGAAGCCCATAAACATTTTAAGTGTATATGACAAGTTGGGAGATGTTGACAAAAAGACCCAGAATTTTCTGTTCTTTGGGGGAAATGACAAAATGTAGTCAAGTTGGTCCCACATTCCTGAAGGTAAACATCAGATGGAGCTGAGCAGAGTGACTTCCTCTTCCTACAGGTCTCAGGCCTCCCAGGTCCCCTCCTTCCCCCCTGCCACACATCTATGTTCTCCACGATCCCAAGTGCACAAGTGTCCCCTGTGTCTTATCATGGTGCCTGGACCATGGCTTTTCTTCTAGACCTCCCTGCCTGTGTCTTTAGGTCCTTGTATTAGCCAGAGGCTTTCCCTCATTCCCTTGCTCGTTACGCTTGCTGAAGACACAGGCTCTCTAGGACGCTACCTCCATCCCCAGAAGTTGTGATGGTGTTAGGAAGACGCAGGGGCTGGGAATCCACACCCACCGGCCTCTGGGCTACCTTTGGAGAATCACTGCCATACTGTACATACAATATCAACCTCTAGGGTCATGAGTTCTTTCAACATGAGACATTTTAACTTTTAGCATGAACAACATCTATGGTTAGTAGCTAAAAGTTAAAATACCAAGTTTTCTTTTTTCTTTTTCTTTTTTGGTTCCGGTCATGGGGCCTGAACTCTGGGCCTGGGCGCTGTCCCTCAGCTCTTCAGCTCAAGGCTAGTGCTCTACCACTTGAGCCACAGTGCCACTTCCAGCTTTTTTCTTTTTGCTTATGTGGTGCTGAGGAATCGAACCCAGGGCCTCATGCATACAAGGCAATCGCTCTACCACTGAGTCACCTGCCCAGCCCCCAAGTTTTCTTTTTTTGCTCAGGAATTCTGGGTTTGTTGATTGTCTGCCTTTGGCTCAAAACAAGCGTTGCCCAGCAGACACAGCTAATTCTAGGACAGAAGCTAAATTGTCACCTACACTGATGATGCCTTTGGTGACAGAGGCACTGGAAAGGTGGCATCTTTCCCTACCATGTAGCTCAGAGAAGGTGCCTACTCACCGCCCATGGCAAAATCCTAGAGAAGTGAAAGGTTGCAGAGTCTTGCCTGTACTCTCCAGCAGAGGTAAGTGAACCATCTGACTTGGTGATAAAATTCTTTCGAGAGAAAGGGAAGTTAGAGGTCCTTTCGGATGTTACAGGAGAGGAGACAGAGAAACAACTTTCACTTGCCTCCAGCAGCTTGACCTACTTGAGGCTTTTCATGAGATAAAGAAAATTCTTTCATTAAATTTGGAAGAACATTTGTAGCAATATTAATTACCTGGACAAACATCAACCAACCAACTACTACCAACAACAACAAAAACACCACGGAGAACTAGGAACAAAACTAGTATTATCCCCAATCAATTTACCACCTGGGTTATTAAGGCAATTTATTGCGTCTGTCCTCTCTTGCCAAGATCTACATGGAATTTATCTGTGTCCTAAATCAAAGTTCTATGGAGCCTCAAGGTTAAAAAGTGAACTTTTAGAGCCTGCCACAGTAGCTCATGCCTGTAGTCCTAGCTGCTCAAGAGGCAGAGATTAAGGGGATTATAGTTTGACACTAGCCCTCAGATGAGAAAAGTTCAGAAGGCCTTATTTCAACCTAGAAAAGCTAGGTGTGGTGCATATGTCTGTTGTCCTTGCTATGCAGGAAGTGTAAATAGGAGGATCATGGGCCAGGCTGACTCAGGCAAAATTAGAAAATTAGACTCTATTAGAAAAATAGCTAAAAGGCAAAAATGGCTGGAGGAGTGACTCAAGTGGTAGAGCTTCTGCCTAGCAAGTGCAAGGCCCTGAATTTAAATCACAGTACTGCAACACACACACACACAAATAATGCATTTTCCATGTATATTGGTACTTTATAGCACATATTCTGCACCTATCCTGTCTGGGTGAGAACCCTGCTCTTTTTGGACAAATTATTTAATGGATATGAGTTTGATCCCCTCATCTATACACTGAGTGACAAAAGAATGCACAACAGGGCAGAGCCACCGGATAGCCTGCCTCTCCACTCGCACCACCAGAAATTCTTTCTTTCTTCGTGTTCCTCCCCAAAGACTCTTACTTTCTCACTACATCTCCTGTGTTCACCTCCTTCTGACTGTCAGTCTACTGGAAAAAAAGAGGTGGCTGAGAGTGCTAAATGTGAGAGAATGGCATCTCGTGACCCCTACTCTGGCACCAACACCACCAACACCCTGCTGGTGCCACATCACAGATCCAGAATCCCCGCACGCACCTGGCCTCAGGAGTTAAGGGCAGGTGTCCCTCTCCCACACCTCTAGGGACTGGCTCTCCACCGCTCAGCACCGGCTGGGCTTTTGTATTTCTTTTCTACTTAAGTGTGCTTTGTGAATTTAGGGCGAACTCAGCACCTGGCCAGCTGTGGGGCGGGCCCAGGTCCACATCTGCTCAAGCTCCACGTCACCTCCTACAGCTGCAGGGACTGGGCCTGCTTCCTGTTGGCAGCTGAAGGTTCCAGTAAGCGTTGCCTGCATCCCACTGAGCACCCGCACCTCCTCACCACCCAGAACAACATTCTGCTGGCTGTGCAGAGTTGGTCCAGACCACACCACCATTCCACAACCCCATGGCTACCCCTACAGGCAGAAGCAGCTCAACACCCTTCGGGCCCTGCTCTGCCCTTGCCCCAGGCCACCTCCCTTTGGGCCCAGAGTCTGCCACACCTGTGTAGCCTTGTCTCCCAATCCCCTCTCCCTTAGGTTCCTCGTCCTCATTCAAGCCATGAAGGTCTGAGTCGTTCCCTGCCCTCCCACCCCTCCTTACCCTTGTCTTTCCATAGACTTCTCCTGCTGGCCTCAGATGACTACCCGCCTCTGCTTTCATGAGTGACCACAGAGTTGAGGATTCAGCCATGTAGCTGCTAGGTGTCTGTGGGCACCGCACTGCCAGGCAGACCCAAGCCAGCACCACTCAGAACCCCTGGGCAGGGAGTTCTAACTCTTGTCTCACCTCCTCCAGCCTTAGCCCTGCATGGTAGCCACATCCTAAGGCAGAGCACTCCAGGCAGCCACAGGAAGCCGCAATGGGAACCCCTGGCCAGAAACCACAGGCTCCTCCACCCAGTATAGGCCAGCTCCCAATGGGGCAGTTTTCACCTTTATCTAGAGCTGGTCCACCCATTGGTAGCCACTGTTTCTTCTCTTGAGCCACCTTCCTGGTCAGCCCATGACCACCCTTACCCTGCAAGCTCCACTTCAGCCTCCCACCCCTACTCAGGCACAGCTCACCTCCCAAGTGGGCCTGGACTGGGGTAACCAGGGCACGGAGGACACCTGCTGGTAGGAAAGCAAACAGAGCTACTCCCTGCGTCTGGCGCATGAGTGGCTCACATTCCTCTTTCCTGGGCTGTTGGTTTCTCAGCATCTGCCAAATTTCTCTCTTGTGTTGAGGTTTTTTAAATCCCCATTCAGTAAACACACATGACTTCCACACGTGTACAAACACACACAGCCGTCTCACCCAGAAGCTTCCTAGCTCCTCAGCAGATGGGAGCCTCCTGGGAAGACACACTTCCACTCTCACACCCCTGCTGCCGCCTGGGAGGGGGGGCCCCTCCCCCCTGTGCTGCCACCGGGCCCACCACCCACTCTTCAAGATGGGTAGATGCGAAGAGCTCCCAAGCCCTCCTCTATACTCCCAGAGCCACGACCTGCTCTCCCATGCCCGCTGCCTGGGGGGGGGCACATTTGCATATATGAAGCCATATGAGTTCCTATGACCTCCACGTCTGGGTACATGTGAATGTGTGCATACCCCTCCCCCACACTGCTCACGTGGGTCACGTGGGTGGGGTAGACCCAGGGACTCAGGCAGCCAGAAGCTGTCTCTTGCCTGGACTTCCAAAAAGCTTGACAGACATTAATTTGGGGGCAAGGTACTATGCTTCCCAAGAGTTGGAAAAACTGAACTGGAGACGTGTCACACGAAGCTGTGGAAACACCGAGAAGAAGAAGAGCAAAGTGTCCAGGCTCCAGGCAGCCCAGCCCTTGATGGTACCCATATGCTTACAGTTACCCATATGGTCACATGGGCAGGAACCCATCTGTTTCCCTGGACGGCACAATGTAATTCCAAATTAAAATCAGTCAGGGATATGATGTGAGTTCAGCATGCCGTTTGGCTCTGAGGCTCCTGGCCTCCCAGAAGTATCTGGCTCTTACTATTACTGCTCTTTCCTTCCCCACCCACCTACCACCCAGCACCAGAGCCTAGGTGCCAGTGAGCCCTGGGGCACTCTGCTGTGTCGCCCCCCCTCCCAGCAGGCTCCTTCCATGCAGTTCCCTACTCCAGTTCATCCCCTTCAGAGCAGACACGCAGTGAGCATTCCGACTTACTGTGCTCCGCCAACCCCTGGATCATGTCGAATTTATGGATCTCTTTGGCATAGTATTCCGACTCCGTGTTTTCCTGAGTGCAGCCTTCTTCCCTCTCTCCCTGCATCTCCTCCAGCAGTTCCCGGGTGCTATTGTAAAGTGCCAGGACCTGATAGGGGACGTGGGTCATCACCGATGGCTCAGGGGGGCTGGTGAGTCTGAGCTTGCTCAAGATCTGTCCCCTAATGGCTTCCACCCTCTTTTTCTTGATGTGGCTGAAGTCCAAAGTGGTGCAAGTGGACAGGGAGAGGCTGACCGTGGCAAAGTCCAGCAGGGCCAGGACCACCAGAGCTCTTTGCAAGTACATCTTCATGTGTGAGCCGGGGAGAGGGGTTGGGGGGGCAGTGAAGCCTGGCGAAGAGGAGCCCCCAGCAGACGTGCAGAAAGAGGGAGGAAAACCAGGCAGCCTCCCCAGATCCCAAACACTGAGGCTTGGCAAAAGGGTGCATGAACTCACTGCACTGCGAGAACTTCAAGACTTCCAGGAAGCGCTGGTTACCCTGAGGACGAAGAAACGGACTGTGTGTGCCGCGGAGCTCTGGGATTCTTGTCCATGTGTCTAAACAGGTTTTGCTGGGCTCTGATTCCCAACAGGCCAGGTGGAGGGCAAGCAGAGGGCTGGGAGGGGTGGCAAGGCAGCTGGGAGTGGGAAGGGAGCTGGAGTTTTTCCTTAGGTAAAAATAAATAGAGCGGATATCTGATATTGCCAAACACCGCTTGGCGATGGGGAGAAAGTGGGTCTTTTAAAGAAGGCACAGAAGGACCAAGGGCTGGAACTCAAAATCAAATGGTTTGCCTTGTGCTGACGGAGAATAAGGGAAGGGGTAGGGGGAAAAAGAGGGGAGGGGGGGATGGTTTAAAAAAAAAAACAAAACGAAAAACAGCAACCACCAAAAAACCAAACAGTCAGATCACCAGTGAGTAGGTGTGGAAAGGCAGGGCCCAGTAGCCGCTGGCCCGGCTAAAGGTGGGGGCAGTGTAGAACACACTTGTCTCTCCATTCATGCTTTCCCTTTTGTTTACACTTCCTCGGGGGCTTTCTAAAATGACTTTGTTCACGCTGCCTCCCGTCTTCATTGGCTGGGATGCATGCGGGGTTATGTGCACTGGCAGGGAGGGAGGGCAGGCCTCTAGAGATCAGCCCCAGGAATCCACTTAGACGCCCGCCACCGCCGTCACCCGCATCGCAGCGTGTCTTCTCCCTCGGCCATCGCTTCTGTGTCCCTTGCTTCTCTTTAAAAAAACAAAACCAAACCAAAAAAAGTCAGAAAGGAAAAGAAAACAGAAGGCAGTTCACTGCAGTCCACTCCGGAAAGCGCCTTATTCCTCCGTCCCCAGCTTCTTCCCCTGTCTCTGCCCTCTCTGGCTCATTCCCTTGAACTTGACGCTGAGCTCTCTCTCTCTCTCTCTCTCTCTCCCTCACACACATGCACACACACTCACACGCGCACGCACACACACACACACACACACACACTGCTTTTTCTATTTCTCTCTGCTGTAATTTTATACCTCCCTCCCATGACGTCTGGGGCCTGGGGTGGGGGTGGGGGGGAGGGAGGGAGGGAGGGACCGGCGCACGCAGCCCCTTTCGCTGCACGAATGTTAATGTTTTAAACAGGCACCGGAAAAGCCGAGCCCATTTGAAAATACTTTGCGAGTCCTCTCGTTCGACGTGGTAACTGAACTTTTTTCCTCCCCCCCCACCCCTTTTTCCCTCCCCTCTTGGAGTCACTCCTGCTACACGTTGGCTGTTTTTCTGGAAAGTTACTCGGCCGCCGAGCCCCCTCCCTGCGGCTCCCGCAGCCCCTCCGCGCGTCCTGGCCGGCTGTCAGTGCGCGCTCTCCCGCCGGCCCGCGTCCCGGGCCGCTCCCGGGCCAGGCCTGGCCGCCCGGGGCGGGGCGGCGGGCACTCCCGATCGCGGGGATCGCGCGCCGTCCGGCCGCCAGTCTTCGCGGACCAGTCTGGAGGGAGTCGGGCCGGCTGGAGCTGAGAGCGGGACGTGGAAACATGGTGGCGCTTTCCGGAAGATCGAGGGTGCCCTCTGGCGAGGCCCGGCCGCCAGTGAAGACCGGCCTGGGCGGCCGCGAGCCCGGAGGACCCGGGCTGGGCGGGGTGGGAGTGGGGGGGCCGGGGATGGGGGTGCTGCGGGAGAGGAAGACCACACCCGGCGCCCGGCCGGGGGAAATCGCCGCGCTCGCCACGTGCGCCTGTCCCGCGCACCGCTCCCGGATCCCGGAGGCCCGCAGGGCACCGAGGATCGCCGAGCGCCATACGGCCACCGTCCCCAGCCCATTTCCCAGATGGTTGAGGGGATACTTGCTCTTCCCACCCTGAGCTGCAGGCCTTCTACCCTGAGCAGCTGAGTGGGTGTCTTCCCTACACACACACACACACACACACACACACACGACTTGTGCCTGACCTGACCAATTTTTCCCTCACCCAATTTCCAAGCCTCACTCTAGCCTCCATGGACTCTTCCCAAGAAGCCTGTTTTCCTCCACAAATTGAACGTTAATGTAGCTCCAGGACAGATGAGGAAACTGAGGCACAGAGAATTTGGGGTTTTGTTTTTCAAGTCACAAAGAGTGAGACAGGATGTTGAACACAGGTTCTCTAGTTACTGTAGACATTATTTTCATTTGCATATGAAGAACTAATGAAGAACCCTAGGTGTAGATTTGCTTGGAAAGTTGTCAGCCAGATCCCAGTGGCTCAGGACTGTAATCCTACCTTCTCAGGAGGCTGAGATCTAAGGATCTAGGTTCAAAGCCGTTCAAGCCAACTCAGACAGGAAAGTCCCTGAAACTCTTATCTCCAATTAACTACCAAAAAGCCTAAAGTAGAACTGTGGCTGGGCTCAAGTGGTAGAGTGCTAGCCTTGAGCATAAAAAAAAGCTCAGGGACAGAGGGCCTAAGCCCTGAGTTCAAGCCCTAGGACTGGCACACACACACACACACACACACACACACACTCACAAGGGATTTGTCTAAGGTCACATAGCTAGTAGGTGGCAACACTGGGGTTTAGGCCAAGGAAATCCATTGCCAGAGTCTGTGCACTTAACCCCTATACTATACTGCCTCTATTTGAGAAATGGTTTTGATATTTGTTATATGCCAGGCATATTCCAGGTTCTGTGGATAAATCAAAACACTCCCTTTCAGGGAGCAAAAAATTAGAGGCAGTAGTAAGGCAGCAGAAGAGGCAATAAATGAAATGAATACATAAATTATATATATGATAAAAGGTAAGCGACAGTGAAAAGTAAAGCAGGAAGGGGGACAGAGACTGCACGGTTGGAGAAGAGGAGTGTTGTGATTTAAAATAGAGTGATCTGAGGAAACTTTATGGAAATCCTCAAACAAACACTTAATGAGTGCAAACATTGCAGAAAATTTCCCCTTCTACAACATAGAAGCTCCACTTCTATTAAATTAGAGTTTCTTGAGATGGGGCCTGACATCTGTATTTACAAATACAACTCTCCTATGATTCAGGTGCTGGGCAAGGTTTGGAAACCCCTGTTACATGCTCTTAAGATTTGGAGCAATGACTCTTTCACCAGATTGTTGTCTAATAGAATATTCTTTCTGAGATGCAGAATGATTGAGCAAGAGACTTTAGAAGCAATTTTGAAAGTTAATTATAGATCCAGAGTGGCTCTGTTCTGCTTACACAGAGACTTGTTAGCAGAGCTAGAATGAGAGGTCAACTCCAGTGATTCTCAGGCCAGTATGCTCCTCATTAGGCATAGGAACACAGAATTCTGCTTAGGAAACATGTAGAGTGAATGATTGGCCTGAATAACTTAATGGGTGCGTAATAAATGTTTGCCATTCTGTTTTAGGAGTACCATTACCACTTCCAATCCTTGCTTTTAACCTGTGAAAACCTAGGCCTTACCCTCAGCATGATATTGGAGATATTGTTCATTTTCAAGGTCAGAGCCCATCTTTGGTGAGTTACAGTGACCAGAGCCTGGATCTAACCCATTTGTGTTGACTTAGGGACCTCACCTGGTAAGAGTCAATGAAATTTGAACTTGACTGCCACAAGGCTGGGAGTTTGTGGCTCCTTCCCCTCTATTAGCATAAGAGAATGGTTGATACCTACTAGTATGAGCTAGAGAAAAATGCTTCACTAATAACTGCTGTTATTAACTGTTACTCTGGCACTTATCACGAAAGTTCTTTTCATAAAGCTATCTCAAGTGCCTCAGTGTCTTGCTTTGCACTTACAGCTGTATATAAGCAGGGGTACAGATGGTACAAATGCACACAGTCCCTAAGACTTAACTTTTTCCCACCGTCTCACAGGAGCAGCAGTGAGTTTTGATATGTTTTTTAAAAATGTGTGGGAAGTCAAGCAAGGTAGTTTAGGAAAGATGTGTTTTAAAATAACAAAAAGCTGAAACAAGGATACAGGTTGACCTACTGTAACAATGAGATGTACAAACACTATGTAGAAAACGAACTTTACAACTTGGTGGGGGGGGGAGAAAGGGGTTGGGGAGGTGGGGAGGAAGGGGATGGTGGGAAAAGACAAAGAGGGGGGTAACACTGCTCGTTACCTTGCTCACGTAACTGTAACCCCGCTGTACAGTATCTTTACAATAAACAAATAAAAGAAAAAAAAAAACCGGGAGGGTTGGCACGCGGAATCCAGGTGTGGCGTGGCGGGCCCTTTAACTATTGGGATGGAAGGGCGGGTCGTCGTCAGGAACGCGTCGGGTCGCTTGGTTTCCAGGAAGTGACGTCAGAAGGCCGCCGCGATGGAAGACTTGCTGGATTTGGGCGAGGATGTGCGCCGGGACTCGGCGTTCTCCGTGAGGACGGAGGAGGGGAACTGGGGTTCCGGAGTAAGCGGGTGGGGAGAAGCGACCCCGTCGGCCCGGCTCCCCGGAGGCGCCTCGGTCGCGGGCCGGCGGCCCCGCAGCGCTCGGCGGCGGCCCGGCCCCGCGGCCTCTCGCCCCGCCCTCGAGGCTCCCGAGGCTCCGGCTGGCTTTCCTGAAAACCTTCAACACGTAGGGAAACACGGGGACCGCGGGGGATTTCTGAGCCGGGGGCCCCCAGTGCGAGCCTGGCGTGTAACCGCCGGCTCCCGGGGTGACGGGCGGGAGCGGCCTGGACCCGACCCTCGCGCCTGCTCCCCATCCCGGGGTTTCCCTCGGGGCTGCCCTGGTCAGAGCTGCCAGGCTCCTGGGCGCGGCGAGGAGGCCTGGGGGAACGTCTTTTCCTCCCTGTCAGACCCGCACCCCCAGGGAGATGGGGGTAGCCTGATTTTCATGGTTGGAAGTCATCGAGATTTTTGAACGATTTATAATGTAGCGGAGAGATTAGGCCCCGAAGTCATATGGAGTATAGAATTGTTACAAAGCTTAAAAAACACACACACACACACACAACGCGTAATTCCCCCCACACAGACACACACACACACACACACACACACCCCCCCCCCCAGCCTCAGTTTCCTGGGGCCTGAAATGGACATGCTGCTGTGAAGACGCATACATGGAAAGCACTTAATACAGTGCTAGATGTGTGTGGATTTACCTGAAGAGCTTAGCTGTGGTTGCCTCCAAGAGCTGTGATTGGCCCTAGGATAGCCAGTAAATGACAGAACTTAATTCCAGACATGAATTCACAACTCCTGTCAGGCCTCTATAACTTGGGTTGTGTGTGTGTGTGTGTGTGTGTGGTTTTTTTTTTTTTGCCAGTGACTGGTTAGGGCTTGAACTCTGGGCCCGGGCTCTGTCCCTTAGCTCTTTTGCCCATTACTATACTCTGTTACTTGAGCCACATCTCCACTTCAAGCTTTTTGGTGTTTAATTGGAGATAAGAGCCTCAAGGACTTTCCTGCCCCGC